TCTCCGCGACTGTGTGAGTGAGGTTACCGGTGGTCCAATCTTCCCAATCCCTGAATCTCCAATAATCCTCAAATTAGTAATACCCAAAAGCCAAGTGACGCACTTGAAATATCTTTGTTTGGTTTCGGGTCTCCGTGGGTGACGCCGATTGCTTACCATCAGGTGATCCGTCTGCTCGTTTGCCTGATTACCCCATAAAAAAGCAACACTAAAAACATTTAGTATTAAACTCACATTCAGTATTTCGTGTTATTATTTCACCTTTAGCTACCAAACCAAGTGGATATTGTTCTTTGATATTTCGTTAAATGTAACAAGTCTTTGTGGAATTGATGTGGTATATAATTTTCTTTTCTTTGACGTTTAACCTTCTCTGTGCTTTTTTCTTTTACTTTGAAATCCAAGTGGAGTCTGGATGTTTTGATGAAGTGGGATGTGAATGACTTGACGATATTACATGAACAGTGTGTTTTGTTTTTGTATTCAGTTATGCTTTTGAGATAAAATTAGGGGCAGAGGAAAGTAGGTGGGTAAAACAGTGAATGATTACACTTTTTTTCAATGAGTGATGATTTTTGCGTTGCCTAGGTGGCGCTAGTGAAGATTTAAGTAGTGTCAGAGTGTCCATTAAACCGGATTAGACTTGGTCAATAGTTTTATAATAAGGAATAAATAGTAAATTTAAGCAGAGAACCATAAAATCTTTATTACTGTAAGTTGTACATTTTCGTATGTAGTAGTACGTACAATGAAAACTATGCAAAAATAAATAGAAGTAACTGACCAAGAATACCAAAATCAGTATATTTATTTAAATATCCTGATAATATTGTCGTATTGCACAAAATAGCAGGATGTTCTATATAAATGCTTATATGGTTTGTTTGAATTCTATTATTGTGCAAAATAATAAGGTATTGAAACAGAAAATATGCATTGAAGATATGGCAAACAGGAGTACAATAGGATACCTGAATAAGAATAGTATGCAGTGTGAATAGTTTGTGCAGGTACACATCAAGCTACGCAAAACCAATATAACTTAACCGTCGATGCGGAAAAGTCGAATAAACCTAGATCATGTTATACTGGTTTTGTATAGCTCGATTTGTAGTCAGTCATGTGTACTTACGTTGCTATTTTTATAATTGTTGATGCTATCGTCTTTGTTGTGCACACGTATGTAAATTGTATACCTTTCAGTTCATTTTGTTACTATGAGTTAATGTTGAAGTGAAAACAGCAATTCTTGTTAACAAAAATGTTTGAACACTTTAATTTGACCTTATTGGTCGAAAGTCACTATAGAATCAACAGCCGTTGATGATGCGCTTTTCATACTTGATCATCTTCAGCTTATCGAGGCCCTCTGTTGGACTTAAGCATCTTCCATGGCAAGCCAGAAGATCACACATAATTCCCCGTCTTCCGCACCCAATTACCTCGACGTTATAAGATAAATTAGCCTGTTCGTCCACCCACCATTTAGTGTCCATGCAACATTTCCGAAAATAAAAAAAATCTACCACCATATAGTTAATAAACATTTGTTTGATTTTACACGCTTTCAGTATCTTACATTCATGGTGATCAGTAAATTGTACGCTTACAAGCGAACTATTTTGGGTGGACGCGAACAAGCGAATTTACCGTATCATTTATAACCATTGGTCGCCTTAGTGATTAACCAATGTTTACTGTCTTTGTACTGTAGCGATCTTTATTTTCTGACCTGGATACCAAATATCTTGACTAGGTACAGCCAAGGTACAGCCAGGTCAAAAGTCCACTGCCACCGTGAGTGATGTTCACACGGCAATGCCTAAGTTTTTATATTAATGTGCATAAAAACTCGTGCGTACGCATAAACACACGCACACGTACGCACATGGATAAAAATATGCGTGTGCATGTGTGTATAAGCACTGCAGCGTAACCGATAGTAGTCTTACGGTGGCAGTGGAATTTTAACCTTTGACCGTACATAAAATTGTGTCATGCAAATAGTACTAAAGATACATCTTATATTATACATACCTATATGTGATACTTATCCATTTAAAAATGTATGAAATATCGAGTTACTTCCGAGAGTTTTAGATTTATTCAGCTAAGAGGATTTTAGAAGATTAATTCTCGTATAATCTTAAATTTTAAAGTAAGTGCAACTCGAGCTACTGGAATTTATAACGTGCTAACTTTTGCGCGTAACTTTGCATGAATGGAAGAAGAAGCATTATTGTAAAAAGGTGTATTTTAGATAATCCAGACTCTTCAGATCAAATATAGATACAGCAAGTAAAAATTGTGACAGAGCCATGCTTCGGAACGAATGGGCCCGGCTCAACCTTAATGTTAACAAAGCCTTACAGAAAACCGACGTGGAACAATAAATGCGTTGTGTTTCATCATGTGGGTGAAGTTACCCGAGGCCCAATTACCCAATCTCCGAATCCCCAACAATCTGGAAATTCTAAAATTCCAAAATGCTGGTAACGCACTTGTAACATTTGCACTGTGGGAGCTCCGGAGTTGGTCTACTAAGAGGACCCGGTGCCTCCTTCAAGTGCGGATGGTGGCCACCGCGGAGGTTTTAGTGAGGTACAAATCCCACACTCCCTAGTCTTTTTCCCCAAAAAGCCAGGCGCCTTTGGAAGGTTTCCCCCCGTCAACAAAAAAAAGGTACCCATAGGCGACGCCGATTGCTTACAGGTGATCCGTATGCTCGTTTACCGGCTTATTTCATTAAAAAAAGAAAATACATTATGTTTACATGGAGCGACATGATTGAAAATAGAATGCGTTTGTATGTGTGGCGTCCAGTAGGAAATCCTACAGCAAGAAAGGAAATGATAATTTTTAATGTCAACAATCATTATTTAATATTATACTCATTATTCTGACTGGTAAATTTATTATTACCTAATTATTTTTTTTGTTTTGCTCAAGCTTATCAAATGCCGTAATAACTACTCCTATTAAGATGTATGTGGTAAGTTCATTATCTTGTATTATTGAATGGGAACAGTTTATCAACAGACTCACTTCATAAAACAAACAACATAATTAGGCATTAACAAATTACTAGTAAAAATAATAAATCTACTATTAAATTATGTTTGTTAACATTTTAATAATTTCCTTCCTTGTGTTAGGATTTCCTCTTGCTTTGTGAGTAAGGACACAAATTAATCATAGACATCCCACGCAGTTATTACACGAAGGAGCTGCTGGATGCAGGTCATTTCCAATAGGCCCAGACCGAACTGAAAGTCATTGGGGAGGCAAAATAGACATTATTGACTTCTATATGAATAGGTATGCAAGTTAGATACTCAAATGGGGGTTCCTCAGCTGGAGTAATAATAGTAGTTTGTGAATCATATAAATAGTTATTTAACCCTTAGACTGATACGCCAGTCACCGCTGTCAACCTCTTTGCTTACTTTAATGTTAATCTAAAAATAACAAAAAAAAAACTATGAAACATTGGTTTTGTAAACTCACTTGTCAAACAAATGTCAGATGACATAGAAATCTGTACTAATATTAGAAATATGTGTGTGTCTGTTTGTTTCCTTTTTACACGGCAGAACGGAGCTAGAAGGATTTTGGATTTTGGATTTTGATTGGAGACAGTTAAAAGTATGGAGAGTTACCTACATACAAACAGAAGTAACATACAAACAGACAAAAAGAAGCCTTTTTGTCTGCCTGAAGATAGTGGAGATTTGACTTTAACAAATTAAACTTGGCAGTTAAAGTGTTAATGCTAGAATCAGCGTAGCAGTGGGTTGTGAAATAGCTGCGTCAATAAAGCAGTGAAATCGTGACCTACAGCGACTTTTTCCAATAAAATCTGACTTCTAAACCTAACCAAACGTTTCAAATGAACTATTCATTGAATCCAGTTGTAATTGAATCTATAAATTGACACACAGATAGACAGATGTAAGCAATAAATCTATCCAAGGAGTAAGGTTTCATACAACTTTCAGCCCTATGTCATTCCCTTAGAGGATAATTTTCAAAATCTGTGTGTTTTTACTTAGGTTTGTGTTGTAGGGAACTTTCATTGAACATTTATGTACCCAAGTTCAAGGATACGTCCTTGCCGCTAATAGGTCTTTCTAGAAAAAAAAATACCCAATACAGCTAATCTAGTGGTGAGTTCTTTATGTACGCATTAAAACTAAATGTATAAAAAACAAAAGAGTTATAGTATGCGAAATCTAGATATCAAGAAATAACACAAATAAATCGATCTGACTTCAATCTGATACCGCCCTTTCCTGTGCCGACAACTAGTTTATTTACTTGCAATAAAACTGAAGATTGAAGGCCATACGCACGCCTAACAAGCACCAACTCAATGTCATTATTATTTAAATATGAACTTTAAATCATATGTCGTATGACATATTTCATAACGTCAATATCAAAAATCTGTAAGCGCGCCGCTCGCGTGCCGCCCGCGCTCCGACGACGGCGCGCTTACAACGTTTTTGTATTGTTGCCAAAGTAAAAATCCTTGTGTCTGAGCCGTGCCGGAGCCGTACTTGTTAAGTGTGTGATGATGTTTTATTCACCATAATTTCTAGAATATTCGATCAGATTCGAATAAAACCCTTTTTTGTTGTGTAAGGTTACTTTCTAAATCACGCTTCGGTGTTTACAAAGAGAGCACGCGAGTTAAATCTTAAGCAAAACTTTGTGTTATGGTTGCTATAGATTTGTAGTATTCCTTGACGTAATTGTTATGTTATCAGATGCCAAAGCATTAATAAAAAGTACTCTTATTTATTTAAAATTTAGCATCCAAGTCTATGTTACGTCTGGCTATTATTTGATCAAAGATTTCCTGCCTCATATCAATATTATTATCATATTATACCATACCGTGGAAAGCGATAAAGATATAATTTACGACTTGATAAAACAAACAATAGGGTTGTTTTTTCTTTGAAGGAAATGAAGCATTTAATTTTTGTTTGTTACAGGATTGAGAAACACACGATATGAGAAAACCGTTAAATAGAATTATAAGAAGATTTGTTGTGGTCGGAGGGAATAGAAACGGCACGTGTCGCTCAAGTGATGAATGAGTGGTTTATCCGTCACAATGCTTGCGGAGAATGACACTCATAGTTACGCAGGTTCAAACAGTTCTTTTAACTTTTTCTTCGAAGATCCACGGTTTATATCAATACTGAAACATCGGGGGCAGAACCACACGAACAATATCGGCGATGTTATTAAAGTTCTGGAAGACTGGCGGAGTAGATACAACATTTCTGTTGTAAAGGAATGTGAGAAGTCGGAATATTGCTCCGGGGAATTTCGAGATCTGATCCTCGCTTACAATAGCATCCATGGATACGTTAGTTTATTGGTGAGTTAATGGAATCTGTGCTTTAGTTGTATGTGTTAAGATTGTAATTTCACTTTACCTTATGTTCTAAATAAAGGACATAGGTAAAGTAAAAACAATAAATAATGTTTGTATCAGGGTGTATAGGCAAAAGAGCTATATATTCGTTGAGTACCTAATAGTGATGTTAATTCACTGTACTGATGTCACAATTCAAGTACAAAGAGCCAACTCAAATGTAGAAGATTAACTATTTGAAGTAGATTGACGTAGAATATACGATTCTGAGATTACAAATATAATACATCATGTTAATAAGACATTTATTTACTTGTTTAAGTTAATTAAAATTTAATTGTACTTACGCGTCTACTATATAATCGTTTTAGTACTTCATGTTGAGACGCTAGCACATTAAGCTCTCTGAAACGGTTAAAAGTCTATAATAGATGTTCAACTTTAAAGCTAAGTAATAAGAACGTAAATGTATTAAAGAACATTGGTAATTTAGACTACTTTGACGTGCCCGTAGCCTGTAGCCTGTAATTGGACACGTTCGTCCATGAAATTTTCGAAAACGAGATTTCTCGAATAATTCACACGTAGCTAACTCTCTAGTACTTACAAAAACTTGATGAATTTCGAGACAATTTAATATGAGTGAAAATTACTCATTTGTAGAACCGTAGAAATTACTGGAAACATTAAAAGTAATGAGCTCGTTGTTCTCTATATAAATTAAAGAGATTTCAAGAGTAACGTTAGACAAAATTACAGCTTAGTTTGTGACATGAGGGCCTAGATAAGAGTAATTCCACATACTTTATAATGTAGGCAAAATTAAAATATTAAGCCTTTTGTAGCTCTAACATGTTTGGTTTTGTGTTTTTATTGAATTCAGAAGTTGGAAAGGCATCTCGGGTTTAAATGTCATTAGTAACACGGAGTCTGGAATTGTGCCCGGTATATGGCAATAGGCTCACCCTTTTACATGGGACTCATAACATAATTAGTGAAAGTGTGTGTTACATTGTACAGTGGCATAATGTGCACTTCTGCCTACCCCTTCGGGGATAAAAGGCGTGATGTTATGTTATGTTACTCATTAACACCAATACTCTTGTTTTTATAAAATCGTGATTGGTCTTCCAACAGGTCTGTCTCTTCGGTAGTTTAGCGAACGCATTGAACGTAGCGGTGTTGACGCGTCGAGATCTAGCAGTAACCCCCATAAATCGGCTACTGAAGTGGCTGGCGGTGGCTGATGTCTTCGTCATGCTGGAGTACGTGCCCTTTGCGATCTACAGGTACCTGGTGAGTGCTAGCTACTTCAATACTTAATATATGAAACTCGAAATCGGTTTAAAATTGAAATGCAATTCTCAAATTTAATCAATTACAATTATTACACAATATTAAAATAAAGTGTGGGAGATTTATGCTTCGGCACAAATGGGCCGGCTCGACCGGAGTGATACCACGGCCTCACAGAAAACCGACGTGAAGCAAAGCTTGTGTTGTGTTTCGTCGTGTGAGTGAGGTTACCGGAGGCCCAATTACCCTCCCCTTCCCCAATCTCCCCAATCCCTGAATCCCCAATGATTTTCAAACTCCTAATTCCCAAAAGGCCGGTAACGCACTTGTACCGCCTCTGGTGTTTCGGGTGGCCATGGGCGACGCCGATTGCTTACCATCAGGTGATCCGTCTGCCAGTTTACCGGCTTATCTCATAAAAAAAACATTTCGCTATTTGTGTTACTAGTGCCTTATTATAAGAGGGTGTGTAAAGACGAGTTACAAATCCGTACTATTATTGAGAATTTTCTAATTGAAAAGTGTTACACTATTTCTGATTCCAATTAAAGTCCTCGGAAATCACTTTTGTATCACCAAATTGGCAATGCAATATAGGAAGGTTTTGTTCGCTATCGAATCCCAAAATTCGTTGTTAGTAGAAGCAAAAGGGGCATCGACCAAAAAGGTTGACAAAGAAAGAAAATAATGGTGCCATGCTCCATACTTACTTCAGTTTTCTTTTTCAGTTATTCCCCGATCAAGAGGAGCGTCCATACTCCTGGGCTGTATACATGCTGTTCCACAGTCACTTCACTCAGATCCTGCACACCGCGTCCATATTGCTCACGTTATCTCTAGCTGTCTGGCGATATATTGCTATCAAGTAAGTATCTGCATTATATTTTGTTTATTTAATTCTATGTATTTTAGATCTCGTGAAGAATCACGAGGGTATGAGTGTTTTTTGTGCAGCGTGTGTACTGTTTTTAATGTAATCAAGAATTTTATTGTGAATCTAATTGGAAAAGAGTAACCTATGGAATTGTTTGCTTCTCTATAGGAATCTACACTTTGGAACGAGCAAATAGCTTCAATAGAGGATTGACCGATAGACGAAAGTTTTTTAATATTTCAATATTTTGTTTTGACGTTCAAATTTTGACTTTAATTTTGAATAAACACAAACAACTGGACCTCCGAGATTTTGCAGGGGTGTTAAGTTCAGCCGCTGACTCTTTGGGAGACTCTTTGGATATGTTAGAGTTTTTCTTGTCCTAAGAATAATAGGCACGATAAAAATCAAATTAGAACAGTTTATGATCAGATCGAAAAACATTTTTTCCAATTGAACCATTATTTCCGGAGATTAGACCGTTCATTCAAACAAACAGGCAACCAATCGCTCCGACGTGATTCCATTTCAATTGTTGTTTGAATTTCATCACGCGATATTTCGGAAGCTAATGTCAATTCCATACATTTTGATTAGCAATGCGACATGGTTTCTATAAAAAGGCGCTTTGTAGTTTTTAATTTGTTTGTTTAATAGTAAAATCTTATAAGCTATGTAAACTTTCGGAGTCGTGGAGAACCTAACGGGTTACCGGGGCTCCGGCTCGAAGTGTAGGAGAAGGAACGGGGTGGTTTTTAGTCAGTAAGAGTCTGACACTCCCTTCCGCCTCACCCAGGCGGGAGCAGTCATTCGATGATTTTCCCCCTTAAAAAAAGCTATATAAACTTAGTTACACAGTTGCTTTTAGATCTTAAAATTTTATTCTCTAAGGTGCATCTTTCCAGTATTAACACCAATGTTTTATGAGTTGTTAAGCATTCTAAAACAAATCCAAAGGTTATCTGTTAGACATCGCATTATGCGGTAAAATCACTCATGCATATTACACTCATGCATAGTACACTTTATGATTCTATATTTTAAATCTGTGTGTATGTGTTGTAGAATAAAGGGTATCTACGTAAATATAATCACAATATCATTCTGTGAGAAGCCGCGAGGAAAAGATAGTATTGTAAATAATCTAATTTATTCAGGTAGCAACAGGAACAAGAAGGGTACAATTGTTTAATTTGTTTTGTCCTAAATTAATTTACATTTTTGAATGAAGTAAATTCTACCTCAGTAACATTTCTAGCAAGTTTATTACTCCTCAGTTACTCTCTAAATAACTTGTATTTTATCTATGTATATTTCTGTAAAACTTAATTTAATTCTACACTACAAACATCGCTCCTTTTCACACCTAGAAATGGGTGAGAAGAAAGTGATGGGTATCTATTTGTCGTCACTTATTCTATTTCTTATTCACTTGGGAGCAAAGAATCGGGGCCTCTAGTGTTTTCTCTTTTTCATTTGTTGATAAATATTTTCTGATACTATATTCTCTTCTGACTCTGATGGTATTTTATTAATTGGTAACGTATGTCGTATAAAGGGCAATTTAGTTAGTTACCTTTAAAATACATTTTGGTGTAAAATGAAGATTTTTTTTATAAAGTTATATAGAAGGTTCGATAAAATAAAAAGAAAAAGTCGTTAGTTGCTCCGTTTCTTTGCTCCTTAGTGTACCTAGTTGGTAGCTAAATCTAATTAAGTAAATGGAATATTGTGCGTAAACACAATCAAAATCATAAAATCAGTAGATTCTGTCTAGTGTCTTAGACTATTTAACCTAAACAGAAATTAAAATATTAAAAAACTGCAATGCAAAGTTTACACCAGTTAACCGATTTAGATGCAGTGATAAAGACAGAGATTGAGACTGGGTATCCGCAAATTACACGTAAGAATAAAAAGAAAGTTGCGAGTATTTTTTTTAATGCGTAACGAAGGAGTTTATTTTCCGCTCTTTTCCATTCGAATTTACACATTGGAACGAGTACTGAGCTTCATTTACAGACAGATTCTTTATTAACGTTTCAAAAAGTACCTGTTTATGGTTTAACTGAAATAAATGGTTTGATTTTGACTTTGACTACGAGTCAAATCTCAAAAAATCTTACCAAGACTCACATAATTTTTTGATTTTATACACCTAGCTTATATCTTGTAGATCTAGAAGAGAAGAGCTCAAAAGCGAAAAATAAATATATTATACATGAATGTCTTCGTAGAACAGCACCAAGACATGCAATGTCTATGTCAAATCTTCTGACAACAATAACAACGACAAAGTCTAACAAACCACACAATTTAATCATTTTGAACCCCTAGACTAGACGTCGCGGAGAACCTAACGGGTTACCGGGGCTCCGGCTCGATGTGCAGGAGAAGGAACGGGGTGGTTTTTAGTCAGTAAGAGTCTGACACTCCCTCCCGCCTCACCCAGACAGTAGCAGTCATTCGATGATTTTCCCCCCTTAAAAATAGACTAGACAATATTTTGTATACAGCCAAAACAAATAGTTTAATGAAAACTAACACCTTCAGAACTATAAACTTAGGCCCTTAAAATACTTATAGTTCGTTTTTATTTGATTTACATTATTTGTTTAAGCTTGTCTAGACCTTTTTGTTATCATATTAGGTTACTACCTAAGGGTTATTGTATAACAAACTATATTGGAGTTAACAGAAACTATAATATCACGACGGCCTCATTGGTGGTCCGAGTTGTCGCAAGTGCGACTGCCGGGCAAAGGGTCTCGGATTCGATTCCCGGGTCGGGCAACGTATTACTGGGTTTCAATAAATCTCAGTAGTAGCACGGAGTTTGGAATTGTGCCCGGTATATGGCAATAGGCACACCCCCTATTACAAGTGATTCATAACATAAATAGTAAACAGTGGGTATTACATTGTAGGTACAGTGGTATTAAATGTCGTAATGAGCACCTCTTGTACCCAATCGGGGATAAAATGCGTGATTTTATATTATGTTAGAAACTATAACATTTGTGTGTTACAGTTTCTAACATAACATACATGTTAAACCTGTGACTATATTCATGCAAACAATATTACGTAGGTACATTGCTCAAATGATTAACTTTTTGTTCCGTTGAGGTATGTAAAGAGTTATAACAAACAAAAAGTTTCAGAGCGCCTCCAGCTAGATACGATCCTTGCTTGCGAAGTGAAAAAATCACTTCAATAACAATAGTAATTTGGTCACAATCATATCCACTGGATTCAAGAGTAAAGTTTTCTTAAGCTATGCACTAGATACTAGAGCATTAAATACATTCAGTGTACTTATATCTACACCTTTATTTTTATGCTCTTTCAATTGATTTGTCTATCGGATAATAGGGATGATTGTCATAACAATAAAAAATCTAATCAGCCCCTCAGATAGGTACCTAATGAAAAAATATTAGACAGGTATTTTTTTTATTTTGATGTATAATAAAATGATACTTGGATAAAATGTACATAGAAGTGACGTCACGCGATATTTCAAATCAATATATCGATGAAAATATTCGTTTCTGTATAAAAATAAAAAATACGTGTGTAGGTAATGTTTTAAAACAAACTACCAGACGGACATTAAAATAAAAATTAGAGTCATTTCTTCATCTTACCTCCCACAATGCTTACCACCAGGCGAGATAGTGTCCAAACGCCTACAAAAAAATATCTACTAAAGCAACCACAATTTTCATGTACATGCATCAAGCTGCAAATGACACCTTCGCCTTTAGAAAAACGTATTAAAGTTAGAAGGTCAGAAGTACCATTTTGTTTATTAGCTAGCTTATCGCTGCAACTAAGGTATTTAGGACATAGGTATTGCTCAGTCCGAGGTGCAAGAAATGAGGACTTGACCGTTTTCATTCAAATTAGGTCAATGTGTTAGTGCATTCGGTGACTGTCGGCGTGTTGTGTCAAGACTAACAACTTGTAGAAGTAAAATGTTTAGGACTTTTAAGCGAATCATCACTTTTGCAGAGGTCGTTGCTCCCTCGGAGACTCTTGAATAGATAGAAATATTTGATGTGTCAATTTTGTCGTTTACTTCGATTCATCATAAGTGGGACCATTTTGATTGGGGCTTAGGGTATGACATGGCGTTATTTTTTGGTCTTGAATTATTAATAGGACTGCCTCTGACTGAATTATTAATAGGAATACATAGTGCAAATTGGGTGTTAACTACATTTAACAGTAGCATTAAGTGCCGTAATATGCACCTCTGCCTACTGCCTACCTGATAAAAGATGTTATGTTATGATATGAATTATTAATAGTCTGGATATTTTGCAGGAAAATCTTTTTAATTAACTTGAGCGAGTTTTCTTTGGTGTTGACATGATTAGCAAATATATTGATCAGAATAGAATGGTTCTCCCCTCTCCCAAAGGAGGAGGCATGGTGACCCAATTTATACATGAGCTCCCTGATGATTTGTGGAAACGAGCATGACGTGGATAGTACGGATACTATCATAACAAAATTTTAAGCAAGTCATTTCTGAATGTTATTTTAATTTGCGTGATAATTTGACTGAGTTTGGGGGGAAAATTATTCAACGTCTTCTCCCGCCCGGCTGAGGCGAGAGGGAGTGTTAGACTTACTGACTAAAAACCATCCCTACCTACTCCTGTACCTATGGAGTTTTTTGCTCGTTTTTCTCCATAGGAAGATTTCATAGAACGTTTTTTTAATATTTCAATATTATGGTTTGATGTCCTGGTCTAATTAACACGTTAAACGCCATGGGGGTCACCGGTGACCGGGGTTAGCGGAGGATTTACCTTTTTACCTGATTTAATAGTTTTTTATTGGCAGTCAAAGTCTTAAAATAAATGATTTTGACTTTTAACTTTTGCACTTCGAGCGCTGGCAACCCGTTAAGTCCTCCGTGTGACTGAGCCTGGGTATACGTAATTTATAGTACCTATGGGAACAGTGATAATAGTCCCTATAGAATATTTAAATTAAACTTACTCCCAAGATTTTTTTTTATGTTTGATGGTGTGACGTTTGAACACTATCTCGCCTGGTGGTAAGCGATGATGCGGTCTACGATGGAGCGCGTCGTCCTATAAGCAACCTATTCACTTTGGGCCTTTGTCTTCCTTTAGCAGTACGCACAAGGAAGCTTGAAGCCAAGCGCTTCGTGCTTTTCGTATTTAGAATATCATATTAGTGGAATGAACATCGTTTTGGGTTGAACTTAAATTAATTTGTAATTACTTTTGTTTTGAGTTGTAAATTGCTTGAAAAAGTGAAAAGTGTGTGAAAATACAAAATGAAAAACACCTCATCGAGAATTACATGACATGATGTTTTGATAATGTACTATGAGTTCGTGAGCGCTTTCGAAGTTTGCTTTTGTGACGTTTCACCAAGCTTTTTTAGTTTTAAACATTTTATTTCTTTGTGAAACTATTGTATTACGAAGACCTAACCATTTTACTTAGGGACGAAAACGAAATAGATTTCACGGTGTATAAATGGAATGCGGGAACAAGATACTAACTAGCCACTTGAAAAATGGACGCTATTAGAACAAGTTAATAACCTCTGACCTGAATACACGAACATTGTTTTTATGTTGATTATTGTTTTGTCTCTCATTTGCCAATTTAAAATAATGCCAGCTTTCAGTAAAACATGATATACTGGGAGGTTTTTTTGACATTGTTAATTAATGTATCTAAACAATTTAAATTGGTTTACATTGTGGACCTACTGAAAAAATGCGTGTTTAGTGTTTGTTATTCAGAGGGTATCTACTTACTCTGGGAATTTGTTAACGTCATGATTCTTTCTGATATCGGTTAAACTTTTTTTAGTATGGGAGAGCCATGTACGGATGGGCCGGCTCGATCGGAGTGATACCACGGCCTCACAGAAAATCGACGTGAAACAACGCTTGCGTTGTGTTTAGTCGTGTGAGTGAGGTTACCGGAGGCTATCTCTGAATTCCCAACAATCATCAGATCAGAACCTAACCCTCTTGCCCGACAGTCGCACTTGCGATCACTCGGCCAACGATGCAGATCATCAATATATTTATTTTAATGTCCTTATAATAAATGATTATTATGCAACTTTGTTCCCAGGTACCCTACATACAGTCCGTCGCTATGCACGGACCGGAGATGTACGCTTGCCATATTGCTCAGTTTTATCCTGCCGCCCATACTCTGCATACCTTCGTATTTTGTAAGTATTAAACGAAATCCTGTTCAATAGGGATGATGACAAGGTATAAAATATAAAATCTATTTAGTCTGTCTGTTAAATAATGAAAAAATGTTAGACACGTATTTTTTTTTATTTTGTCATATATGAAAACAATGCTTAGATACAACGAATCAAAGTTCTGAAGTGGGAGTTACAACGTCATTTAGAGGTATATGTATAAAACGTATCTACCTAGAAGTGACGTCACGCGGTAATTCGAATCAATATATCGTAGATAGTCTTTGTTTCCGTAAGAAAATAAAAAATACGTGTCTAATGTTTTAAAACAATCTACCAGACGGATATAAAAATAGAAATTAGTTATCTACCCTATTATGAACACACTTTATTTTATTCATATTATTAATGAGTGAGAAACGGTTTCTTATCCTTATTTATAAAAGTTTAAGGTTCATAATAGAATAGATAAGTAATTTTTATTTCAATGTCCGATTATAAAAAAAACATTAGACACGTTTTCTTATTTTCTTAGGCAAACGGTTTTCAAGATATATTGATTTGAAATATCACATGACGTCGCTTTTGAGTAGGATAAATACTCTAAAATGACATAGCTACCTCGCAATCCTAAACTTTGATTCGTAAGTATTGTTTTCCTATACGACAAAATAAAAAATACGTGTATAATATTATTTCATGACATAACTGACGTACTAATTAGATTTTTAATTTTCATACCCTGTCATCATCCCTATTTTCTCTACATCTTGGAAAAATTTGCTGACTATAAGAGAGCTTTTGCCATTTTCTGAATATTTTAAAATATAACATAATAACATCACGCCTTTTATCCCCGAAGGGGTAGGCAGAGGTGCACATTACAGCACTTAATGACCACTGTACAATGTAACACCCACCTTTCACTATTTATGTTATGAGTCCCATGTAATAGGGAGGGAGCCTATTGCCATATACCGGGCATAATTCCAGACTCCGTGCTACTACTTAGAATTTTTAAAAACCCAGTAATACTTTGCCCGACCCGGGAATCGAACCCGAGACCCCTTGCCCGGCAGTCGAACTTGCGACCACTCGGCCAACGAGGCAGTCAGTATTTCAAAATATGTAGGTACGTATATGCATTTCATAATCCTACAAAGATATTATTCAACCTTTGAGAGAGATGAGAAGAATAATAGATATAAAATGGGTATTTCGTACAGGGATAAGCAACAGCATAACACCTTTTATAATATTCGAAAAATGAAGCAGAAATGCATATTTTATACGTAACAGGGATTTTCAAATCGAGTGCTGTATTTAATTTTTTTTGTGTTTAACTGATTTTGATGAGATATTTTTTAATAGGCACAGTGATTCTTAATAAAGGTTTATACGTATAATACATGCATATTGCACCGTGCAAAACCGAGGCGGGTCGCTAGTCGAAAATATTTTATCCCACTGAATGTATTTTATGCCAATGAATTAATTATTTACATTAGGTATATCATCAAACCGTTTTCAGATGCCTTTGCGTGTAAAAACCTCAACATCGAATAATATTACTGGAATGAAAATACATTGAAATATGAACCGAAAAGCCTTTATATATATAAGCCAATATTCCATAACAACAAATGTTGATGATTTGCAGTCATAATTAAATCATTTTTCAAAAATAATTAACATGTGGTTTTTGGATGTCCCTGTCCAATTTTAAACCTTATTTTAAATTAATTGTTGGTTTATTTTCCCTTAATGATCATATTTTATGAAATTTTGTACAATCGTATTTATTTGGTTTAATGCAGAAAGGTTTTTAAAAATACATGCAAATACGTGTTCAAAGTGTGAAAGGTGAATATCAAACAATAATATGAAGCGTATATCTTTTAGTTAGATTATTAAAACAAATATTGATTCACTTGAAATACTTTAATGTTTTCTTTACCGTTTGTATTGTTTGGTAGTTAAAGCGCTACAAATAAGCCAATAAAAATTTAGTTAACAGTCATCACAGTCGGATCACCTGATGGTAAGCAATGGAAATGGACACCCGAAACACTAGAGGCGTTACAAGTGCGTTACCGGCCGTTTAAAGATTAGGTATTTAAGGATTGTGGGGGATTCATGAATTGTAGAGATTGGGGGGATTGAGGAGGACAGTAATCCTCCTCCTTTAGATAAACCTACAATATCATTAACTGAAAAGATTCTTATACATATATATACCTTATCTCCATACAAAATTATGTATGTATTATATACCTTATCTCCATACAAAATTATGTATGTATTATATGGCAAATTCATAATATGTTTATTTGGATTGACATAGGATGGGCCCCATAATCCATACTAAATTATTTTGTTGCTGTCTATCCTTTATCACGTGAATGGGTTAATTGATCTCTCAAAAGGTATATACAATGCCAGTTACTAAGTATGTTCATTGTTCATGCATATTTAAATTAGTTGCTACTAGCGACCCGCCCCAGCTTCGCACGTGCAATATGCATGTATTATACATATAAACCTTCCTTAAGAATCACTCTATCTATTAAAGAAAACCGCATCAAAATCCGTTTCGTAGTTTTAAAGATCTAAGCATACATAGGGACAGACAGACGGCGGATAGTGACTTTGTTTTATAATATGTAGTTATATCACGAATTGACCCAGATAGTGTTTTTTGAATCCTTTTTCAGTTAAATTGTGTTCTAATTTTTCCTGCGCCAAGTGACAGGAGATGAACAATACAACCAGTCAAGTGTCTCCAGTCTTACAGCAAATGTTTTAATAAATTAAAGTAAAATTCTTATAATTCTACCTATCATATGTACTAAATAACCAAGACATACATAGAATTTGTTTAGACTCAACAGACTAGCAACACAGTCCATATTTATATTCACTAATAAATATTTCTGTTCGTCAGTACATTTATAAAAGTAGATCGTAGTTTCTCAACGTACGTTCTAGAAGACTTTTAGATGTATACAATGCATATGTATTAATGTATATATATATAGGTACGTAGAGATATAAACCTGTCAGTTCACGGTTCAGAAATAATAATATAATTCTAGAGAGAAAAGAGTATATTCATTGCTAGTTGTAAATTAGTGTTACATGTATGTACATCACTACTTAGTAAGTAATGGCCCCCTCACTATAATGTGTTATATAAGATAGGACACTCGTCAGTAACGCCGCTGTCTACCCGTCATAGTCTAGTGTGTGTACACGTCGTGCGCCCTGCACATTATTGTAATAAATCCAAGTAAAATAAATCCGTCTACAATTTATTGATCCACCAACATAACAATTAGTACTTGGGGAAAAATGTTGAAGGATTATTTCCAAGATCGTTTCGTTGATCCAGCTGCTTAAATGCGATACCATGACATCCCTTATACATTAGTGTGACAGTTTGATTCCCCCTAGTCCTTTCCATCTTTGTACCACAAGACAATCGGCGAAGCGTCACTGATTCATGGTAGATGTCCCACCCACATGCATGAAGCGCTTCGCATCAAGCTTCCTTGTGCGTACTGCTAAGAAGTGGAATTCTTTACCAGAGTCTGTATGTCCTGAAGGGTGTCAGGTTGTCTTCAAAGCCCGAGTGAATAGGTATCATCGCTGACCACCAGGCGAGATAGTGGTCAAGGGTCGGCCCATCAACTATAAAAAAATCGATTCTAGGTAAATCTTAAGAAAATATGGCAAGAATAGGTGTGGGAAGCTATGCTTCGACACGAATAGGCCGGCTCGACTGGAGTGATACCACGACCTCACAGAAAAACGAACGTGTTTCGTCGTGTGAGTGAGGTTACCGGAGGCCCAATTACCCTCCCCTTACCCAATCTCCCCAATTCCTGAATCCCCAACGATCCTCAAACTCCTAATCTGCAAAAGGCCGGTAACGCACTTGTAACGCCTCTGGTGTTCCAGGTGTCAATAGGCGACGCCTATTGCTTACCATCAGTTGATCCGTCTGAGTTTACCGGCTTATGCCATAAAAAAAAATTGGTTGTTCATAGACACCAAATACTAACAAATACCCTTTTTGTTTGATTTGTCTAACTGTCAAAAGTAAAGGTTCTTTAAGTACACCTCTCCAAAGATATACGATGATGTTCTCTCAACAATGCTTACTCTAATATTCAATTCACATTAGAACAGGTACCTCACCAGATAACGTCTAGGAATCTTCCAAGCAAATCTCGCCTCTATCTCGGTTGATTGAAGTGTTGTTTCCTACACAATGATTTACGATACTCGTTGATTCCTGTAGAGCGATTGATGTCAGTTGGATAGCGTGGAACTATGCCATTATTGTAGCCAAGGTTGCCTCGCCTTAATTAATTGATTTCTCTAACATTATCTGGGTTTTGTAGGCACCCATGTTATATTGGATAAGTTTTATCGGTGTTAGTTTCAGTGAAATGTCTTGGAGTCGTTTGTAAACACGATTTGTAAGTAGGTACAAAACAATAGTCATATAATGTTTTCTTTTTTAGTTGTGTTCGGTATTTAAATCGGGTAAAGCCTTATGCTAGTGTGGCGACGCATGCCACATGTCAACGGATGACGTCACAAAAATCCTACATCGCACATGCAAAGTTTACAAGCGAATAAACACGGATAGAAAATCCCAACGAACAACTGTTGGGCAGAAGCCCGCCAGGCACGATCACCTCGCCTGGTCGGAGGATCCTCCTTTTCCGATCTTAGGGAACTATACTCTCTGTTCCCTAAACTAGCAATATAGGGGATGTTGTATTTTACGGTAGGTACTTCTTTCAGCAAGTAAATTCCGTGATTACATAATGATAAATGACTATTCAAGCTAAATTATCCCCTTCCTTAAAACCAGGCGTTAGATGCACTATTAGCTCATTGGATAAAGGTTATCGGACGATAGTGCTAGATTGCTAATTTCGAGTTCGGTCAGGCAAAAAGTGTGATATCGAGAATCGAGATATTATCTTATCAATATCAACGTTTTTCTACTAAATTGTTGCAGAACATGATCGATGTATCTATAAAATAAAGGTCGAATTTAAGTGTTAATGGAAATCAGGGAATAAGAGCTTATTGTATGAAATTTCAAACAAGTTATTGCTTTTAAGGAGGTTCTTTTAATGGCTGCTTGTTCTAAAGAAATTGAGGTCCTAATAATGTAAATACCTAAAGAATAAAGATTGCTCCGTTTAGTTTAAAAATTGGTAATAAGTTTGCCTCATCTCAATAAATAAAAAATTGTACTGAGCTAATAAATAACGGTTTATTTATTAAGTACCTAGTTTCTTCCGAACCGAACTTCTGACATAATTCGTGAAAATTGGATGGCACATTTAGTTTTGGCTTATTAGGAAAATGGTAATGCAAAGGTAACGTCTTAAGTGTCCTTATTATAGAAAAGGTAGACTTAGATATAGACGAAAATCTTTGAAAGTATAAACAAATACTAACAAAACAATTTCTGTTACAGGTATTCACAATACACAAAGACTTTGCATTCGACAAGAGCGGGAACATGCTGACTAAAGTATACTTCGTCGATTCAAACTACAACGGCAGCCTGTACCAAATAAACTTTTGGGTGCACGCAGTACTTATAAAGTTGTTACCGTGCGTTATTCTAACAGTGATCAGCGCATGGCTGATCAGGGCGTTGTACAGAGCTAATAGTAGGAAAAAAGCGCTCAAGGGCTATAGTGCCTGTCCAGCCACAACGGTTGTCAATGGCAACGGGAACGTCTTCACCAGAAAGTCCACCAAAAGGTCCAAAGCAGAGAGGAGAACTGATAGGACAACGAAGATGCTGGTCGCTGTATTACTGCTCTTCTTACTGACAGAGTTTCCTCAAGGAATATTAGGTGAGACCCTATATTTTTTTTATTTATTTATTCTCATAAATATATACATTGTTATTAAATATACAAAAATCGCCAAACTGTTACCAGTTTGTTGGCGATAATGGCGCTCTTAAATATTATTTATTATACACATATTATTATTTTTTTTTATAGCTATTTCTTTATATAATATTATAAGTATTTTACATTAAATCTATTATATGTATTACCAATTATTATTGAATGACAAAAATATCATTAATTTGATTAAGCTTTATTTCGTTCAGTGCTTAGGTGGTGGTTATTGCCTATCAACATTTTGAAATGAAGCTAGATCAATCGCCAGCATAGTTAATTTTCTGTTGACAGAAGATTCGAACATTGAATATTTCACCTGTAATAGCAGTCCAATATGTCTATTAAGGTTTGCTCATTTAGGACCGTTTTTAACCTGTACAATAAAATGGACACTTGACAGTTTTTATTATGGAAGAATAGTCAAATATTCAAAGTTATTCCTCAGGAATTAACTGATGATTGAAAAATCGGCCCCTAAAGGTTATAAATAATGTAAACACGCAATACCCATGAGATAGCTACAACAGTACCACATTTCATTATTTTCTCAGCTCAATTTATTACGCATGGTGAACTTTACATTTGTTTAGTAAATATAATTTATACGAGGAGTTAATAAATCCATTCTCTATGATGTTAAACATACAAGATGGAAGGTTTTATGAGTCTGGTATTAATCAAATCGCCCTTTCAGTTTCACGAAGAACTTTGTAAAGTGATTTATTAACCAGCGAAGTTTTGACGAATTGCTAATAATTTATCTTGGTTTTCATCGCTGCAAGTAAACTTTGGATTAGATTAAAGGATTTCGTTTTGTTCGAGACTTTATTTGTTTTTGTTGATTGTTAGTTGTACGGTATCTTTAGACAAATGGTAATAAATGTTAGTTGAATGAGTTTATAAAAAAGTCAATATATGGGATTAACATAAGTTTTGACATAATTTAGTTTGTCAAATTCATACACTGACATTTTCACTCGTTTAAATACTTTGTTTACTACTATCTATTTATTACACATTGATAAAGTCTCAGATTGTAATCTCGGGTTGTTCAAATTAGGTAATATTACCGAATCCCCGAATCCTCCACAATCCCCAAATTCCCAATTCCCAAAAGGCCGGTAACGCACTTGTAACGCCTTGATATTTCGGGTGTCCATGAGCATCGCCGATTGCGTACCACCAGGTGATCCGTCTGCTCGTTTACAGGCTTATGCCAAAAAAAAAAAATATTATGGTTTTGTCAAACATTGAATATTGTTCTCGAATATGGGTTATAGTCGTACGTCAGTTAGTCTCATTTGCAATGGGACTAATAAAACTGCTTAATTTATTGGTCTCATTTGTAATGAGAGTAAAACTGAGTATAGAAATCCTTGAAAGAATAACAAGCTTCATGTTATGTTATGAAAATCAGGCAAAACAGTCAGCAATAAATTTACCCGACCACAGAAATAGAGTGGGTGTGTGTTTGTATAAACACCACCCATGTAGTACGCAGTAGTACCTATTTTTAATTACGTTGGCTTCGGATTTTGTAAACCAATATCTTTGTTTACATTTTCATTTTTCTTTTTGTACTTACTAATAAATAAGTGATGTTTTGTAACAGGAGAGTACGTGTAAACATGGCTGTATTTTTAGATAGCTTTTGTCGTCTAGTTATAATATGACGGTTGAGTTCTACGTAATACGTACCTAATTCTGCTTGGAGCAGGTTTTATTAGATTTTTTTTAAACGTTGCACTACATTAGGATTTTCTCCTGTGTCGTGGGTGCGTTTACAACACAATGACACCCAGACCCGAAACAACAATTTGTGGATCAGACAGTGTTGTTCCGTGCGGGAATCGAACCCGCGACACGTTGCACGGCAGCCGGTTGCCCAGCCACTGCACCAACCGTGTAGTCAAAATGTTTAATGCTTATGAAGCTAGAATAATATCTATATTTTCGTTTCGTCTCATGACTCAGTGAAGGCAAATTTAAAAACCTTATGGCCGTTTTACTGAATTCCTAACGGGGTATTCTTCAGAATTATAATATTCAGACGCTGTATTTAAAGTGGAGATTGTCAAAAAGTGTGTGTCGATCTCATATTAATACAATATTATTGTTCACAGGTCTACTAAGCGGAGTTCTTGGACGGTGCTTCTTCAAGCAGTGCTACGACCTCTTTGGAGAGCTGATGGATGCACTGGCACTCCTCAATGGAGCTATAAACTTCGTGCTGTACTGCTCCATGTCAAGGCAGTTTAGAACGACGTTTGGACAAATGATCCGGAATCGATGTGCGCCCACACAGAGGGCGAACTCACATACGGAATTACAGACTACATATGTTTAAGTGTGTGTGAAAATCAGTGAACAGTGAATTCACAGTGTCGTTTAGTCTTTTCATTCTACAGACAATATTTGACTTTATTGTTTCGTGATAAAGTCGATAATGAAAATGACAGTTTCTGGTAGTTGTGGCTGTTTGTGCGACGATTAGTTTTATTAAGGTGTATTATAGAAAGAGAAGATTTTTAAGGAAGTGTATAACAAAGTATCGATTGAACAAGAAAGTTTTGTATGTGTTTTGAAGTGTTTGATAGATTTAGAGTACAGAGTTTATAAATATGTGGAATTTGAAGTCGTTTTGGGAGTAGACACATGGATTTTAATCAGTAATGGAGATAACAGCTGCTCAAGGTCTATCGGAAGATTTACTAGGTAAAACCTATCTATAAGTATGATAGTGTCTGAACATATAGCTTTGGTTATAACATAAGAAATGCCACCAGACTTAATCAGATAAGTACCTAACTCTATGTTATATATATAAGTAAAGTTAAAAAATTCTAGTATTGTTTCAAACTTGTTGAATTGTTTAAACTGTTTAATCGAACGCTTAATTAATTATTTCCTAAAACTGTTGGGAAACAAAGCGTTGGAAATAATGATTACTTTATATGAATATGTACTGAGAGCCCAAAAGCCGGGCGTGTTTAACGGAAATTGCAATTTGTTATGGGTTATGAGTGCGGATATTGTATTCTCTCTTCTTTTTTGTACATAGTAACAAGTGAAAAATGTAGCTATATAGGTACCTACAGAATAATAACGTTACAAAAATTAAAATTAGACAAATTATATTTCTAGAGATTTTGTACGCAATATGGCGAGTAACAATCTAAATTAAAGAATATAATTGACATAAGAATATTGAAAAATAAAATATAAGTCGGTCCGTTTTAGAAAATCAACACGTTAATAAATTTAATTTTTTAGCTACATTTTGTTTTTTTTAATCATCAAATTAACATTACCTATATAAAGAATGTAACCGTAACCTAAAAGCCTTTACAAATAAAACAAAGAATGTTATCCAATATACTTCTCAAACTGAGTGAATCATAGCACTATCGATTGTGGTCATAGACTGACCACAACAAAGATAAATGGAATCGTAAATATTCAAGACAATGATTGAAACTCCACCCAGACTTCAATTCAAAATGGCCGCCTCTAAATATTGGCCCTTTGCCGCCAAAAACAATATTTTCTCTCAATTCTGAGCCGTTCTGTGTAATATTCAAATTTAGAACAGAAAAAGGTCTCAAGATCATTCTGCCTTTTATTTATTTTTGTGATCGCCTATAATTTTTACCCGACTGCCAAAGAAGGAGGGTAATGTTTTTCGAGTGTATGTAAGTATGTATGTATGTCTTTTCCTTTGTGACCACCTGTAGCCTAAACGGCTTGATGGATTTTGATGTATGAGGTATCGTTAGATTTGTCTTGATTACGGGAGTGTCATAGGATACATTTTATCCTAAAAGTCCCACGGGATAAAGACATAATAATATTTTTTCTAAATTTCCCTTTAAAAAAATATGTATGCGGTATCATTAGATTCATTTCAATCACGGGAGTAATTAATATAGGATACGTTTTTTCTCAAAATTCCCACGGGAACATGTTAATTCTGCGTCAACGCAAAGCAACTCATGCGTTAGCAAGCAAAAAGATAGGGCGTGGCCTGGCATGCGGCGCGCGGCGCGGTGCGGAGGGGGATATGCTCGAGTATACAGCCCGATTGCGGGCACACGCATGAGGGCACACGTCGTTGACGATAGTCTTCTACATCTACAACATTTTCGTTAAATAAAAACAGCTAAAAAGTTATAAATAAAAAAATTATTATTAAAAAAACAAAATACCCGACTGCACACTAAAAAAAAGTAAAACAAGCCCCACAATAATATTGATCAATCAAATGCTAAAAACTAATTAATAATACCGTTTAAACAATACCTATATTAAAATACACTACAATATGTGTTCGTAATCGATAGTTAAATAAACAGAAACTTATTTTGAATACAAATTTACTGAATATAATTTATAATGTTGATGGAAAGCATCGCAGGCGGGGACCACCTTGACCGCCACCAACGAAAATTCTGCTAAATGGTGCACAACCGAAATGACTATAAATAAGCCTCTGTTGGTCCCCGCCTGCGATGCATTCCATCAACATTTATAAATTATATTCAGTAAATTTGTATTCAAAATAAGTTTCTGTTTATTTAACTATCGATTACGAACACATATTGTAGTGTATTTTAATATAGGTATTGTTTAAACGGTATTACATAATTAGTTTTTAGCATTTGATTGATCAAAATTATTGTGGGGCTTGTTTTACTCTTTTTTTAGTGTGCAGTCGGGTATTTTGTTTTTTTAATAATAATTTTTTAAGTTAGACGATAACCTTTTTTGGAAGAACAAAGTAAATACCTATTTATTACAAAAACCTTTTACTAAAGTTTTCTTTTAGATTTTATAAAAAAGTACGCCTTAACTGAACTTTGAGGAGCAAGGTCTATCATATAATTGATTTAGGTAGTTTTTAAGTAAAATAGAATATATGAAACCAAAATGAAAAATAAACGTCAAAAATACAAAAAAAATAAACATCTATACCTAGTATTCCTCAACCATGCCTTGGTTTTCAAAAGGGTAGACAGAAACTACTGAATAACAAACGTTCAATCCATGCTAAAACCCCATCAATAAAAAAGTATTTCACTCCTGGAAATATTTCTAATCTTATCACTGATAGGTACCTATCCATTTTACAAATCCCTTTTGTAATCCTGATTTCATTTATTCCCTCATTATGATTCAATCGCCAAAATAATTACGAAACAATACGTTTTGCAAAAATGGCAATTCCTACCTTATAATGAAAGAGAGATTAAAATCAAATCAAACCTTTTTAGAAAAAAATACTTTGTACTTACAGTGCTCTACTTTATAGGCACAATTTAAAAAAAACGAAATTTCTTTTTTATGTCTCTGGTCTCATAAATACAGGGTGTGTCTTTTCCAAGATTTATGTAGGGGACTGTTCCGCTGACTCAGTAAAGAGAAACTAAATGTAAATGCTTCCATAAGTCACAGTTCACAGCAATTTTATGCTCTATTATGATTTGCATAGAACCCCAAACCGTTTGTTCTAGTTTATTGTATGTGATTGCATCGGAATTTTAGGTTTGCGTGGAATTGTGGAATTAGAATATCGTGTGAAAGACTGAATTTAATATTTACCATTATTTTGGCATGTATATTTTTTAAAGGGGTTATCATGACTTCTACCGCCTGGGTGAGGCGGGAGGGAGTGTCAGACTCTTACTGACGAAAAACCACCCCGTTCCTACTCTGGCACTTCGAGCCGGAGCCCCGGTAACCCGTTAGGTTCTCCGCGGCTTATTTGGCATGTATATGTTTTAATCGATCGCGAGTTCTGTTATTATTACTATTGAAGCCAATTTCTACCATACCGAAATTGGGTGATTCAAGAAGGATCTAACTTTACTTACTCAGTAGGTACGAGTCGTCCATCTTACGTTCGCTTACGTTCTATGTTACTGATGGAGAACTTATTACAATATACCAGAATCATAACATAACATCACGCCTTTTATCCCCGAAGGGGTAGGCAGAGGTGCACATTATGCCACTGTACAATGTAACACCCATTTTTCACTATTTATGTTATGAGTCATGTAATAGGGGGTGAGCCTATTGCCATATACCGGGCACATTTCCAGACTCCGTGCTACTACTGAAATTTTTAAAAACCCAGTAATACTTTGCCCAACCCGGGAATCGAACCCGAGACCCCTTGCCCGGCAGTCACACTTGCGACCACTCGGCCAACGAGGCAGACGAATCGAACTTCATAAAATTTAAGTTTCAAAATTTATTGTCCATCAAAGTAGAAAATAAGATCACAATCGTTTATAATAAATGGCAATAAAATGTACACTCCTGGTGCTTGTAAACGCGATGTTTTGTTGTGGAATTGCTTGAGAGCTTGTTAAATACCGTGTCGTCGAGTTGTTTGATGTACCTAATAAAACGTTCCTTACATTGCTTCCTGCTTTCCCATTTGGCTGCTAACGTTTGAAGACTAATAAATGTTCTTTGAAATCGAGAAATGGTTTGAAAACAATTCTAAAAGTTTTTCCTGGGAAATCTTTGCGGTGTGTCAAAAATATAAACTATTTTACCAGTTATGCAGAAGTATGAAAAATATTTTTTTGTGTAAGTAGGTAGCCTTTGGATCTTGCTCTTAAGTCCAAAGAATGTACCGAAATATGGCCTAAAAGTTTTGTAACAAAAAAAAAATCGTGCCAGTTGAAAATAGTAAGAGATATCTAGGTCACCTAAATTTCCTTTATCAAATATCTACACTTAGACAAAATAAATGTTCTGCATTACTTATGGATTCAAGGCCAGACCATCTTTCACCTACATTTTATGGGTGCATATTTTTAGCCAATGGGTAAATACGATAGTAAAAACTTGGCCGTCGACCGCTAACATAAACGTGTAAGATGTATACAGAGATACAGACTCCTCAATATCTATCATCTAACACCTTAGGCGTGTTTATAAATTGTATAGATTGGAATAAAATTCTGCAGCGATATAATATTTGTAAATCTGAATACCTATTATTGTTTGTGTTTTATAAAGAAGGTTGACAATATTCATTGCATGCATGACTGCTGTCTAAGATGACATTCTAATGATTGATTGAATTTTTAAACTGTCAAACACCAAGCGGTCACCGGTGACCGCAACCTATTGTTCTTTAATTGTGTCTATAAAACCGGTACTCGACGAGTTAATAGATAACTTATCTGATACAAAAAATATGATCAATTCTAGATTTGTTCTCAGTACTTTGTTAGGTACTTACTTATCACTACATAGTATAAAACAAAGTCACTATCCGCCGTCTGTCTGTCAAACGGATTTTGATGCGGGGTTTTTTTAATAGATAGAGTGATTCTTAAGAAAGGTTTATATGTATGTATAATACATGTATATTGCATCCGTGCGAAGCCGGGGCGGGTCGCTAGTAACCTATATTATATTCATAGGGTAAGAGGTTTATCCCATATAACATGGAACTCAAACACTAGCCATTATAATTTTTATAGTTTTCGAACCCCATAAAACTCCTATCATTTCAAAGCAGAATATTTGATTACTACATAATAAGGAAGTTACCTTTATAATCCGCACGGAATTCACATAAACTAGATAATAAAAGCCAGGAATGTTCAGCCTTAAATACTTGATATGAGGTTTTATTGAGTTTTTATAGTCTGTGGTCATCTCGCCGTTTGCCCCAAAGGTATTGGCAACATACAAACTTTTAATATTAGAACATGAATAATTTCATAGCAGTGTGTTTACGTGAATAAAAATTGATTTAAAACTGCTACTAAAAATTGCTTTTTACGATTTAGTAAGAAA